GCCTGTCCATTGTCTTTTTTTTCAAGGTTTTTATTTTATTTTATGTAAAAAGAGATAGCATTCTGTCATAAGGTATATATCTTAAATGACTCATTCATGGACGTTCACTTAGTCCAACTTAATGAATCCTATGTCCTTCGCATACTGACCGAAACACTGGCGGCACCGGTTGAGGCCGTATTTCCGGATCAGACCGTGGAGGTTTGAGCAAACCCAGCAAGAACGAGAACCCTGGCCGAATTTCCTCGGATGGCTCCAGTAGAGCTGCTGGTGACCCATCTGACACTCTTTGTAGCAATGAAGCAAACAGGCTGTCCATTGTGTTTTTGCATCAAAGATAACATACCTTCGGAATGTCGGGTTAAATTTTTTTTTTCGAACCAGCAACCTCTTGGTGCATGAGACAACATTCAATCCGCTGAGTCATTGTATGCCTTCACTGAGCCTGTCCATTGTCTTTTTTTTCAAGGTTTTTATTTTATTTTATGTAAAAAGAGATAGCATTCTGTCATAAGGTATATGTCTTAAATGACTCATTCATGGACGTTCACTTAGTCCAACTTAACGAATCCTATGTCCTTCGCATACTGACCGAAACACTGGCGGCACCGGTTGAGGCCGTATTTCCAGATCAGACCGTGGAGGTTCGAGCAAACCCAGCAAGAACGAGAACCCTGGCCGAATTTCCTCGGATGGCTCCAGTAGAGCTGCTGATGACCCATCTGATGCTCTTTGTAGCAATGAAGCAAACAGGCTGTCCGTTGTCTTTTTGCATCAAAGATAACATACCTTCGGGTTAAATTTTTTTTCCAGACCCCTCAGGACCCAATCTCCCACAGAGCAAGCGATTTCAGAGCTCATCATTGTTATTGTTATCACATTAATTATTAACTGTCAACTGTCCTATCCCACCTTCGTAGAAGAAGTATGTGTCTATTTCTTTTACTTTTTACCCAGTCCCAGAGAATTCCCTGCTTTGCTTTCTCCCCCTTCCCTAATCTCTCACCAGTGGATTTGATGTAACCCTCCTTTTCTTTGATTCTGATGTATAAAATAAGGTGCAGAACTGCTGTTCTATAAAGCAGTCTTAATCCGTTCTTATTCTGCTTCCTGGCAATTGTTTTCACTTTGACTCAAATTAACTCAGAAAAATTCTCTACAGGTTTGGACATATCTTAAGATGATACCAGGAACAATAGAATAATGTTCTTTTATTCTAGGAAGAAGCAGGGGGAAGCTGCAGGGTCGGGTATCAGCATTTCCTGGGACATACCTGACTGAAGACAGATTTCTGAGCAGAAGTCTAGAGCAGACCCCGAACACACCAAGACAGAGCCTCCCAGTTACCAGCTCTTTTCAGAGAACAGAAGAACATGCTCCAGGCTCAGGTGATTGGGTCTGTTTTCTCTTTCTTCAGTAACGGATTTGCAGAAGTCTATAAAAACCAACTTCATACCCAGCCGAGTGGCACAATTGGTCTGTACACCAAAAAGGTTTCAGATTCAATTCCCAGTCAGGGGCACATAAGGGACGCAGCCAAAAGATGTTTCTCTCTCTGTGTCTCTCCTTTACCCTTCCTCTCTCTCATGAATCAGTAAAAAAAAAATAATAATAATAAATAAATTCTTGGGTTTGGATTTAAAAAAATACACCCTCATTAATCTGGAAAAAAATATATACATATATAGTCTCAAATATATAACTTAGAATATATGAAAGGTGTTTCTAGGCTAACAAAAAAATTTAACTTCTTTACATTATAGTAACACCTAATTGGATGAATTCATAGATGAATGAACAATTATAAAATAGTATTTTACGAGGCATGTGGTTATTCCACTGTATATAAAATAAAACCCCATTCACTATATAGATGCAACCTATAAAGTGAAAAAGATCACAAAAATAACATTTTTTCTATAGCATCTTAAAAGACTTCACGCCATTGCCCTAGCAGGCTTGGCTCAGTGGATAAAGCGTCAGCCTGCGGACTGAAAGATCCCAGGTTCGATTCCGGCCAAGGGCACATGCCTGGGTTGCAGCTTGATCCCCAGTGAGGGGTGTTCAGGAAGCAGCTGATCAATGATTGTCTCTCATCATTGATGTTTCTATTTCTCCTCTCTTCCTCTCTGAAATCAATCAATATATATATTTTTTAAAAAGAATGTATCTGTCGAAGGGAAAATGAGGTACATCTGTAATACTGTCAACACTAAATATAAATATATATTTTTTAAAAAAAGACTTCACGCCATTAAACAGCATGTTGTTGTTACAGGAATCCCTGACATTTGACGATGTGGCCGTGGAGTTCACCTCAGAGGAGTGGCAACTCCTGGACCCTGATCAGAAGGACCTGTATAGGGACGTGATGATGGAGAACTACAGCCACCTAATGGCCCTGGGTGAGGACAGCTCCCCTGTGTCACTGAGATACTGCCCTGTTAGTGGCTTTTTCCTTTCTCAGCTGCTTAACTTTCAGAATAACTCCAGTTCTCTGACATGATGCAATCTCAGATCCTTCTCTTGCCCCACGCAAGGTATTATAGCGTCCCCTCTCCTTATAGAAAAATTATTGTGTTAGCTGTAAAAATGGTTCATTCTCCCTTCTTGACAAATCCCACCCAATTCAGGACGTCTAAGTCTTTTGTCATTTTTTCTTGCGCAGGATATCAAGCCCCCAAACCAGACGTGCTCTCCAAATTAGAACGAGGGGAGGAACTGTGGATAGTACAGGATGAACTCCACTGTCCAGTCTTTCCAGGTGAGGGGGTGAGAGCCAGCAAGGTGGGCGGCCGGGAAGTCACATTCTAGTCAGAAATGGCATCAGAGCAGTGACAGTGAATGAGGAAAACTCAAACCATTCTTCCACATATGAGAATCCTTTTTTTTCTTTGTAAAAATTTGGAATATAACATACCCCATTTGTCTCTTCTGAGCTCTGACCCATTTATTTTTCTACTCTTGTTTTTGTTTGTGTGGTTTTCTTTGCCGTATGATTCCCAGATCTTTTTTTTTAAAATATATTTTATTGATTTTTTACAGAGAGGAAGGGAGAGGGATAGAGAGTCCAAAATATCAATGAGAAAGAAACATTGATCAGCTGCCTCCTGCACACCTCCCACTGGGGATGTGCCCACAACGAAGGTACATGCCCTTGACCAGAATCGAACCTGGGACCCTTCAGCCTGTAGGCCGACGCTCTATCCACTGAGCCGAATCGG